GAAATAGTCTAAATGAAGAAAACCTAACAGTAAAACATAACATATATATATACACACACACACATATGTTTTTTAAAAATATATCTTTATTGATTTCAGAGAGAGGAAGGGAGAGGGAGAGAGAGAGAGAAACATCAATGATGAGAGAGTCACTGATTGGCCGCCTCCTGCATGCCTCCGACTGGGGATCAAGTCCACAACCCGGGCATGTGCCCTGACCGAGAATCGAACCCCGATCGCCTGGATCCTAGGTCGACACTCAACCGCTGAGCCACGCCCGGCCGGGCCATAATGTATTTTTTTAAAAACAAAAAAACATTATCTTTTCCCCAGTCAATTAACATGGCACATAACAGCTATATAAATTAAACACCAGAAAATTCACAATTCATTCAAAACATTTTTGTTGATCACATACTATATGCCAGGCACTGTGCTAGGAGCAGGGTTACTCTGGAGAGGTGAACAGACAGCCCCTGCCCTCAAAGAGCTTAGTCTATGCAGAGATATTAGCCAATGACACAAATATACATAAAACAGTAGGACTACATAGTACATTATTAGAAAAGCATAACAAGAAGGGTTAAAGTAAACCTTCCTGAGAATGTGATGTTTTAGCTGAGATTTGAGGAAGGTCAAGGAAACAATGAAAGCTCATCAGAGAACAAGGAAAAGCTGGGAAGTCTACAGGGATAAGATTAATTCACAGTCCTATTTTCTATCGTAACAAAAAAATAATAAGGTACCAAGAAATAAATTTAACCAAGGAGGTAAAAGACTTGTACATGAAAAATTATAAGATACTGAAGAGAAAGGTACAAAAAAGTGGACACATATACAGTGTTCACAGATAAAAAAATTTAACATCATTAAAATGTCCATACTACCCAAAGCAATAAATAGATTCATTGCAATTCCTATTATAATACCAATGGCATATTTCACAGATCTAGAACAAATATTCCAAAAATTTATATGGAACCACAAAAGACCCTGAATAGCCTCAGCAACGTTGAGAAAGAAAAACAAAGTTGGAGGTATCACACTACCTGATATCAAACTATACTACACGGCCACAGTAATCAAAACAGCACGGTTTTGGCACAGGAACAGACATACAGATCAATGGAACAGAATTAATTGTCAATTAATATTTGACAAAGGAGGCAAGAAAATACAATGGGGTAACGACAGTCTCTTCAATAAATGGTGTTGGGAAAATTAGACAGATCCATGCAAAAAAATGAAACTAGGCCATCAACTTACACCATGCACAATAGTAAACTCAAAATGGATTAAAGACTTAAATGTAAGTCTTGAAACCATAAAAATCCTAGAAGAAAACATACGCAGTTAAAATTTCAGGCATTTCTCGTAGTAATATTTTTGCAGATATATCTCCTTCGGCAAGGGAAACAAAGGAAAAAATAAACAAATGGGACTACATCCAGCAAAAAAAGCTTCTGCACAGCAAAAGAAACCATCAACAAAATGAAAAGGGAACCCACTGAATGGGAGAACATATTTGCTAATGATACATCTGATAAGGGGTTAATTTCCAAAATATATAAAGAACTTATACTACTCAACGCCAAGAAGATAAACCCAATTAAAAAATGGGCAAAGGAACTAAATAGACACTTCTCCAAGAGGACATATAGGTCAATAGTCATATGAAAAAATGTTCAACATCACTAATGATCAAAGAGATGAAAATTGAAACCACAATGAGATATCACCTCATGCCTGTCAGAATGGCTATCATCAACAGATCAACAAGCAAGTGCTGGAGAAGATATGGAGAAAAGGGAATCCTTGTGCACTGTTGATGGGAATGCAGACTGGTGCAGCCACTGTGGAAAACAGTATGGAGTTTCCTCAAAAAATTAAAAATGAAACTGTGATCCCACTTCTGGGAATATATCCGAAGAAATCCAAAACACTAATGCAAAAGAATATATGCACACCTATGTTCATTGCAGCATTATATACAATAGCCAAGATCTGGAAACAGCCCAAGTGCCCATTAGTAGATGAGTGGATAAAAAAAGCTGTGGCACATTTATACCATAGAATACTACTCGGCTATTAAAGAAAAAAAAGGTATCCAGGCTGGGCATAGCTCAGCAGTTGAGCACTGGCCTATGATCCAGGAGATCTGGGTTTGATTCCTGGTCAGGGCACAAGCCAGGGGTTGCGGGCTCCATCCTCAGCAGGCTCCATCCTCAGCGGGCTCCATCCTCATTTATGTTTCTCTCTCTCTCTCTCTCTCTCCCTCTCCCTTCCTCTCTCTGAAATCAATAAAGATATATTTTTTTAAGAAAAAGAAAAAAAAAGCAATCTTACCTTTCGTGACAGCATGGATAGACCTGGAAATTATTATGCTAAGTGAAATAAGCCAGTCAGAGAGAGACAAATACCATATGATCTCACTCATATGTGGAATCTAATGAACAAAATAAAGTGATGAACAAAATAGAATCAGAGGTAGAGATACATGGAACAGACTGACAGCTGTTAGAGGGGAAGGAAGTTTGGGGGCTGGATGAAAGAAGTTGAAGGGATTAAGCAAAAGAACATATATATACAAAACACAAAGACACCGACAACAGTGTGGTTATAGCCAGAGAGAAAGAGGGGTGGGAGTAGGTGGAGGTGGGCAAATGGGGACAGAAAGAGACTTTGCTTAGGGCAGTGGGCACACGATGCAGTGTGCAGTTGATGTTTTATTGAGTTGTACACTTGAAACCTGTATGTTTTTGGAAACCAATGTCACCCCAATAAATTCAATTTTTAAAAAAGGGGGAAAAAAGATTAATTTACAAAGCGCCACGGACAATGTTAAGGATTTGGGTCTTTATTCTATAAATTTTAAAAAGCTGTTAGAGGATTTTAATGAGAATGACAAGATAAGCTCTATATTTCAAAACTTATTCTGGATATATTATAAAACAAGAATTAAGAGAAATTTGAATGAATGGGGGAAGTTCAATGAAAAAGCCATTAGAGTAGTCCAAGAGAAAAAGATAACTTGAACTAGGACAGTGGCAGTGTGCAGGGAGGGATTTGAGAGAGATTTCAAAGGCTAAATAGATGAATTAGATATTGTGGGAAAGTGAGGGTGAGAAAGAAAGACTCCCCAGGCTCTTCGCTTATAAAATAATCAATAGTGCCCTTCACTAGGGATTGGTGCAAGAGGAATCAAGAATTGGAGTTTGGACATATTGAATATGATGTGCCTGTCAGAGACATTTATCTAAAAAGGGGTATCCAACTCTGGTGATGAGAGGACAGGGCCGGACTAGGAATATATGTCTGGGAGCTATTAGTATAAGAAGGCAATCGAGGATATGAGAAGTAGGTATGGGGTCATCTAGGGAGATAGCATAGAGTGAGAAAAGGGACAAGGACCAGTAAACATCAATGCTTATCCATTTCAGGTTCTGAATTGTATTTTTGTAACAATAAACATTCAATGTGGATTTTTAAATACAGCAAGAGTAACATATAATACAATTCATCTTGATCTTAAACTTGCCAACCTAAATCTTTTGCCAAAGAAACAGGATCAGAATGATTATCATGCAGATTAAGGCCAAAGAGATTCCTAAATTATACTTACAAGATTGAGATAATACAGAGCCATAAGCCCGGCCGGCGTGGCTCAGCGGTTCAGCATCCAACTATGATCCAGGAGATCGCAGTTCGATTCCTGGTCAGGGCACATGCCCAGGTTGCAGGCTCGATCCCCAGTGAGGGGCGTGCAGGAGGCAGCCGATCAATGACTCTCTCATCATTGATATTTCTCTCTCTCTCCCTTCCTCTTTCTGAAATCAATGAAGATGTATTTTAAAAATATATATATAGAGCCACAAATGTAAAACTATTTGGGGTGAGGGGGTCCTCCTTCATAGCACAATAAAACAATACATAGTGATTGTTTCAAAGATACCGTAACACTTCCAAAATCAAACCCAATATCATTTCCACTAAAACGTGGTCCTCCTGTAGTGAATGGGATCATTAGCACTCCCCATATAGGCACATAAACTAGAAACTCAAGTAATCGTTGATACTGCCCGCTGGCTCACCTTCCATATCTAATCCCTTACAAAGTCCTACCAATTTTACTCTGCACAATTTTGTTCAGACTTAACTCTCCAACTTTTTTTTCTAACCACAGTCCTCATGATTTCACTTTCCCACTCCACAGATTTCTATTGGTTCCTTGAAAGGGCCATGCTCTCTTCTGACTCAATACCTTTGCAAATATTCCATCTGCCTGGAATATTCTTTCCCACTATCTTCTCCTAGGTAACTTTTTCTCATCTTTCAAATTCTGATTTCTTCAAAAAACAAAACAAAACAAAAACCTTCCATAAGAGCACCCAAGACTAGGACAGATCCCATGTTATATGGTCTTATAACACCTATGTGTTTCCTTCTTAGTACTTATCACAATAATTATTTACTTACATGATCACTTAATATCTGTCTTCCCCACTAGATTGGAATTTCTGTGAGTGCTGGGCCTGTGCTCTGTTCAACATTATAGCCTTAGCACTAAGCATACTACCTAGCATGTAGGGGATGATCGATAATAGTTTTAAGTAAATCCTTAATTTTAAATTACTAATAAAGTACTCAGCATATCTGGGAGAGAAAGAATTTAGGCTGGGTCTCTATCTCCAAGCCTTGAGTTCACAAGACCTAGGTTGAGACAGGAGGGGTCTGGTTGACAGGGGAGAAAAAAAGGAGGAATCAAGGGTCTAGATCAGCACTGTCCAATGGAAATATAATGTGCAGGATCTAGAAACCACATTAAGAAAAAATAAACAGGTAATATTAATTTTAATAATATTTTATTTAATCAAATATATCCAAAATTATTATCATATAATCATGTGATCATACTATCATGCAATCAACATTTTAAAATTATTAATAGGGTATCTCATATTCTGATTTAAGTCTTAAATCAGTGTGTATTTTATACTTACAAAACATCTCAGTTGGGACGAGCCACATGTCAAATTCCCCAAAACCACAAAAGACCAGTGGCTACTGAACAGCACAGATATGGGTATTTATTCCTGTATCTATATGGGGAGAAAAAGTATATTTAACATTAGTAAGACAGTCTCTCCCCTCAAAGAACTTACAATCTAATCAGCAGATACAACAACAATTATACAAGCAAAGTATGTGTGATACAGAGACATACCAGCCAGTCCATAGAATCACTCAGGAAATAAAGAAGCTGTTAAGCAATGCTACTGATAGATACATACAGGTGAGCACCTTTGTGGAGTATCCTTCCTGCAAATGATAGGAAGCCTGACTAAAACTGGCTTAAGTGAAAAAGATGGGTATGACTGGACTCAAGATTCTTTTACCCAACTCTGCTTCTTCTGGATTGGGCTCATGCTCAGGCTGTACGTGGCAGCCAGACATTATGACACTAATTGTTTTACAACCCTGGCCCATCTATTTTCAAAGTCCATGCTAGGTGGTACCTGAAATTGGTAAAATTCTACCATTCCCTTCCTCTTCCCCATCAATAAAGAAAAAAAAGACATTATTATAAGCAACATGCAATACAATCCCAGAAAAACCACATGACTTTTAACAATTTTTCTGAAGGCACTGCTATTCAGTCCTATTCTTAAAAAAAAAAAAGTAAAACTGTAATGATAGCCCCAAAGAAAGACAATTGTACTAATGAGCTAGAATGAAATTTTTCTGTAATCTGACTCCTCAAATAAGGCTAACATTTAGTATAATTAACAGTAAAGATAAATTCTCAAAAATTATCAGACAGCTACAAGTACACATATGAAATCAGGAAAAAAATCATTGCAGCAAAAACAAAAGAGTTTATAAGACAATGAACCTTGCATAAACAGTTCTATTATAAATTAATATTTTTCCAATAATTTTACTTTTTCAAAGCTTAGCATTTTACAGTGAATGCTTGTATCTTACAAGTCTATCATTAACATTTTATATACTTACTTTATCACATATCTACCCATTCTTCCCTCCATTTTGTCTTTTCAGGCATTTCAAAGTATGTATATTCATATATTGCACAAGTCAGTACACTTCCCTTTAAATATTACAGCATACATAGCATTAACTGAAGTTCAATATTTGTTTACATTTTTCTTTTGAGGTAAAATTCAAATACAAAAAATGCATAAATCTTACATGTATATTGAGTTTTTGACAAATGCATACACCTATATATCTCTATTAAGATAGAGAACATAATCATCACTCCAGAAAGTTCCCTCACATCCCCTCTAACCACTATTTCAATTTTTTTCCATCATAGATTAGTTTTGCCTATTCTAGAATATCATATAAATGAAAACAAAGAGTATGTACTCTTTTGTGTAGGGCTTCTTTTAATTAACATGTTTTAAGATTCATCTACATGTAATATATACAAGCAGTCTGTTTCTTTCCATTGCTCAGCATCATCTCATTGTATCGTCCTTCTTATTGATGGACAACTTGGCTGTTTTCAGCTTTTGGAGATTATGAATAAAAGCTTATAGAAACATTGTTCTACAAGCCTTTCAATAAACATATGTTATCATTTCTCTTAAGTAAATACCTAAGAGTGGAAAGTTTGCACCACGGGTTAGGTATATGCTTAATTAATTTTGTAAAAGTCTGCCAGACCTTTCCCAAAGTGGTTGTACCATTTTATGTTCCCACTAAGAATATATGAGTTCTGGTCGCTCTATACCCTTGCCAACATTTAATGTTGTCAGTCTTTTAAATTTCAGCCATTATGTTATACGTAATCACTTAACATTTTAATTACTTATAAGTTAACAACTGTTTATAAGAAGGTTATTAAAGCACAATAACTGAGTTACATAAAATATAGAGCATTAATACACCTCGGTACAATTACAACATCTGAATTAGCTTGTAAAAGCAGCACAACTATCCTAGAAAAAAGAGTAAATCACTGCTTGAATATATTATGCCCATTTCCAATAGGGTATGCCTAATATAATCAATGAATTACAGAATTAAGCAGGTGATTTTCCAAATTAGTAAACTGCCATCTATCTGCTGATGACAAAGAAAAAATATTAACCATAGAGGCTTCCAGAAGACACCAGCAGTGCTTGAACAGGAGAAAAGCTTCAAAACCAGCCAGATCTCTCTTCTTGTGCACTGTCCCTTACCTGTTTATATATACCAAGAGGCAGCCAGTGCCTAAATAGCTATTTTAAGTTGTCTTTGTACACAAATGCGAGGATTGGGACACAAGTTCTTAAGAAATGCTTCTTGTTTATTAGCCTAATGTCACTACACTATACAGTGATAAACTTTAATTCAGTGAAAGAAGATGACTGCAACTAATGTACCCCCCTATCGCCAAAAAGTAGATGCCTCATAGAGATTTTAATGCACATCTTATAAGTACCATTCTCCGAAGCACAATTTGTTTTTCTTATGTTTTTTTGATTTACTAAAAAAAAAACACGTATTTACATCTTTAAAAAAACCATAGTTAGCACCGATTTTCCACATGCTGTGCACTGTGATGCCCCCTCATGGAGAGTAAACATGGCCAGTGGAACCACACACTGGGCAGTCAGTGGCAAACACTAAAATCATGCTCTCTAGACCCACGCTAAACTGAACGTGTTCTGCAAAATGAATTGTTTTTCTCAACATTGGTCACTCTTTCTGCCCTTTATTTTGTGATGTAGGCAGTTTAATCAATAAGACTACAGAAGCTGTTCATGCCATAGTGCTGAAAACGAAGGAGACGTAGCTCCCAAACTTTAAATGAAAGCTTTGATCTGTAAGCTGAGGCACCTTCAAGGAGACAGGGTATAAAAAATAACAAACAAGAGGCCTTGTCGAGCCTGACTCAATGGTTAGAGCATTGGCCTTCGCAACAAAGGTTCACTGGTTTGATTCCCAGTCAAGGGCACGCATCTGGGATCCAGGTTCCATCTCTGGCCTCTATGGGGGATCATGCAGGAGGTAACCAATCAATCTCTCTCTCCCTTCTCCCTCTCTTCCTTCTACTCTCTCTAAAAATCAATAGGGAAAAAAAATCCTCAGGTGAGGATTAACAAAACATAAAATAAAATAAGAAATAAGAGGGTGAAGGATTACAGGAAGTCCTCTGAAAATATGAAACACATCATCGCCCAGGTGGCTTGGCTCAGTGGTTGAGCATTGACCTAGGATCCAGAAAATCGTGGTTCGATTCCCAGTCAGAGCACATGCTCGGGTTGTGGGCTGGATCCCCAGTCAGGTGCGTGCAGGAGGAAGCCCATCAATGACTCTCTCATCGTTGATGTTTCTCTCTCTCTCTCCCTCTCTCTCTTCCTCTCTCTGAAATCAATAAAGATACATATTTTAAACAAAAAACCCCCAAACAAACACATCATCAATTTCACTCTTTATCAATTTCACTATAGATTAGGATGTTGTCTGACAGTTATGAATGGGATAGGAACTATGGATGTGAGCTATGGTTTGTGTGGTAGAAGCAATTACACTTTATTTTTTATTTTTTATTACTCCTGCTTGTCTGTCCTTCCAGGCTTTCAATGAATAGCTATTATCAAGTGTTCTACAATCTAACTATTTTCATAATATAAAAAGTGAAAATCCTATATTTCACAGATAAAAAATTTTAAGAAAGGAAAATCTAAGGCTCATAGGGTCAAAATGAAAAATACTTCAGTTAAGAAGATGTTAGTTTTTTTCATAGCAACCCATTTTCTTATGCTTGCTCCTAAATTGCCATTTTTATAAAATTTTAATGGGGCGAGAGATACTACCTTGTCAGGAAAACATCATAAAAATAAATACAGAGAACCATGCAGGTAAACATCTCACTAAATAAATATCATTATAAAAAGGTTTAAATAAAATAAAATCAAAGTCCTTGCTGCCAGTCCATTAAAAAGTCAAGGTACATATACATTTTTTGGTGTCATTTCTGTAACAAAGAAGCAATCACTTTTTAAAAACATTTTTTAAATTTTTACTTTTTCAATTACAGTTGACCTTCAATATTATTTTATATTAGCCGCAGGTGTACAGAAAATGGTCAGACATTTACATAATTTACAAAGTGATTCCCCTGATAAATCTAGTACCCAGCCAGCACCATACATAGTTATTCCAATATTATTGCCTATATTCCCTAGGCTCTAAATTCCTGTGACCATTTTGTAACTACTAATTGTACTTCTTCCTCCCTTCACATTTTTCACCCAGCCCCCTCTTTCCTCCCATCTTGCAACCAACAGTTTGTTCTCTATATCTATTGGTCTGTTTCTGTTTTGTTTGTTCATTTACATTGTTGTTTAGATTCCAAATAAAAGTAAAATCATATGGTATTTGTCTTTGTCTGTCTGACTTAAATTTTACTTAGCACAATACCTTCTAGGTCCATCCATGCTATTGCAAATGGTAAGATTTCATACATTTTTATGGCCAAGTAACATTCCATTGCATATATGTACCACTTCTTTATCCAGTCATTTACTGATGAGAACTTAGGTTGCTTCCATATACCTTGCCATTGTAAATAATGCTGCAGTGAACATAGAGATGCATATATTTTTTCTAATTAGTGTCTAGATTTCTTCAAATAAATACCCAAGCAGTTCTATTTTTAATTTTCTGAGACACCTCCAAAATGTTTTCCATAGTGGCTACACGAATTTGCAATCCCACCAACAATACACGAGGATTCCCATTTTTCTACATTCCTGCTAACACTTGTTTGTTGATTTACTAATGATAGCCATTTTGACAGGTGTGAGGTGATATCTCATTGTGGTTTTAATTTACATTTCTCTGATGATTAGTGATATTGAGCATCTTTTCATATGTCCATTGCCTATTTGTATGTTCTCTTTGAAGAAATATCTATTCAGGTCCTCAGGCATGTTTTTTTCTTGTTGACTTGTATGAGGTTCTTTACAAATTTGAATTATTAATCCCTTACCAAATGTATCATTGGTGAATATTTTCTCCCAATTAATTGGTTGTCTTTTTGCTTTGTTGATGGTTTCCTTTGCTGTGCAAAAGCATTTTAGTTTGATATAGTCCCATTTGTTTATTTTTTTCTTTTGTTTCTCTTGTCCAAGGAGATATATGAATAAAAATATTACTAAGAGTAATGTCAGAGGGTTTACTGCCTATGTATGCTTCTAAGAGTTTTATGGTTTCAAGTCTTACATTTAATTCTTTGTTCCACTTTGAGTTTGTTCTTGTATGTGGTGTAAGAAGGTGGTCTAGTTTCATTTCTTTGCATGTGTCTGTCCAATTTTCCCAACACCATTTATTGAATAGACTTCTTTACCCCATTGTACAGGGTTGGTAAAAGTAGGTTTACAGACTGGCCGGCATAGCTCAGATGTTGAGCATCAACCTACAATCCAGAAGACCAAGGTTCGATTCCCGGTCAGAACACATGCCCAGGTTGTAGGCTCGATTCCTAGTGGGGGGCGTGCAGGAGGCAGCCGATCAATGACTCTCTCCTCATTGATGTTTCTATCTCTCTCTCACCCTCTCCCTTTCTCTCTCTGAAATCAATAAAAACACTTTTTTTTTTAAAGTAGGTTTATAGTTGTTTATATGGAAAAAGACATGCAGTTATAATTATTACAATAGCTCTATTAACTCAAAACAATGGCACAATGGCACGGTGTACTTAGGTACAATCTCATAAGTGCTCAAATTGCCTGCCTTGATTATTGACACATTCTTGTAGCCTACTTGCTATACTCAAACACACACTGTGGGAGTTCTTACCTACTTTTGCCCATCCCTGTATGTTCTGGCCTCCTTTGTCATAGATTAATTGACCATTCAGGTATGGGTTTATTTCTGGGCTCTCTATTCTGTTCCATTGATCTATTTATCTGTTTTCATACTATTTTAAGTACTACAGCCTTATAGTATAGTTTGATATCATGTAGCATGATACTTCTAACTTTGTTCTTTCTAAAGATTGCTTTAGCTATTTAGAGGCTTTGGTGGTTCCGCATAAATTTTAGAATTATTTGTTTTAGTTCTGTGTAAAATGCATTGGTATTTCATAGGGATTGCACTGAATCTGATTACTTTGGACAGTATAAACATTTAAACAATTGTAATTCTTCCTATCCATGAACAGGGTATATGATTCTATTTATTTGTATCTTCTTCAATTTCTTTCTTCAATATCTTATAATTTTCTGAGTACAGGTCTTTTATCTCCTTGGTTAAATTTATTCCTGGGTATTTTTTTTGGATGCAATTGTATACGGGATTATTTTCTTAAT